TATTTTTTTAACTCCATTTATAACTCCACTAAGAAAAGTGGTGGGTTGGGAGGGGAGGGGTGAGAATCGAGCGTGGAGCGTTACCTGGGACAGGGGCTTTGAGGCAAGTGTTTTTCTTACCTTTTCTCAGATCGCAGGCACGGGTGCCTTGATTCTCAAACTGTGAAATACAGCCTTGGGCCAAGAGATTCCAGAAGGCTCCTGACCCCTGCACCAGAGCTCCAGCTTTATTCCACAGTAAGCTGCATATTTTCAGACAGTAAGGTTGGAAATGAGGGAGACTTTACGATTCAACACGATTTTCTGAATAGACTCTATTAATTCTTGCGGTGGGCCAGTTCAGGACCCCCTGGATGAAGGTATTCTCTGTCTTCTGCCATTAGAGTGACTTCCGAAGAAACTCTGAGAAAACTGATACAGGTAAAAAGCCTAGTCTGGGAGGAGAAAGACCTTTGTATTCAGCTGCTAACTGTATGACCTTAGAAAAAAGTTAAGCTCTCTGGGCCCAATATTTTCATTCATAAATGGAGATAATACGCCTGGAGGAGGCTTGGGAAGAGCAAGGTCTTGTGTAGTCAGGTGGTGTGCACAGACGTCCCGTGACCTGCCCAGGGCCACACGACAAGGGGACAGCCGAACTAGGTTTCGGACCCACCTCTGTCCTTCTCAAGCCCTGGGCTGCTACAGCGACTTAAGAGTAAGTCTGGGACTGTCTTCTTCTAGATGAAAGTTCAAGGATAATTAAATAGAGAAAGCTAAATATCCTTTGGTTATTTTTAACTCCCCAGTTTTAAATTTTACATTGCTCACATTAATCTCATGTCATTCCAGAATTTCACAATCTCATTATATAACTTTTTTCCTAGTAGAAGAATGAGATGCGAAATTGGGCAGGGTCATTATTCATCCCAGGTTTTCTGGGACAGCCTTTATTTCAAAATTCCACCCCATTGATATGCCCCTGAAAAAGCCAGTATTTCAGTAGGCAGACTGCACCAGAAGTGGCACAGTGCATCTAGAAAACGCGGGACCCACAGGAGCTGACATGCAGGAGACCACGGTGCCCCCTTGACCTCTCGTCCATAGAGACCACCTTGATGGTGCAGATGCAGAACACAGGACAGAAACACTGTAGAACCTCTGCACTGGACACGCCTGATTTTGATCTAATAATTCCTACGATAGCTGATTAGCAGGAACCTGTATTTATAATAAGTTAACAAGCTCCATAGGTAACTGACAGGCACAGTGAGCTTACTGGGCCGGGTAACCGCGCACGGAGGTGGGATGGAGGCTGGACACACACTGCATCTGTTTCTGGGGTTTACGGAGACACCCCGAGGTGCAGAGGCCAGTCACCGAGCCAGCGGCCTCCTGTAGAGTGCAGGGACTCTCCAAGGTCCTCCACCACCCAGCCCACTTACACAGAGCAACCCAAACATGACTGACATGACTTTAATTAACAGCTGTGTTCAAAACGCCTTCTATCTTCAAGGTGTCTTTTCAATGACAAAGCTTCTTACTTTGGGTCATAAGCTATATATAGATTTTTACAGATTTCCAGTGTTACTATCCATAAGAAAGAGTAAGTTCAGCATGGATTTGGATGAGGAATAACTAAGGTGTAAAAACTCTAATACCCTGTGAATAACCGTCCCAGGATGACACTGACTGGGCCAGGTGAAAATGTATTAAAACCCTCGATGTGGGTGCAGGAGGCTGTGTGTTCTAGGAAGCGAGCTGGCCGTAAGCTTGAACTCTATGCTCTGAGACAGTCATACAGATTCTGGAAAACATGGGCTCCAAATGAGTGAAATGAGTTACAAAGTCATGAAATCCTGGGCAATGTCACACATCTTCCTGAAAACACTCAATATTCTTCCAGTTGAAACAGCTGCACAATCTGACAGTGACTTCAGGGAAATGCCCTGCAAACGCGCATCTCTGACACTCCCCACTTCCTCCCTTCTAGAACTCTCTTATTAACAGCTGCACTTGGAGAGCCTGCTTGGAACCTGAAACACTGTTTTCCTCGTGGGTTACTTTACACATTAGCATCCAAGTTCGTTTTGTAGAAGACAGAATGATATTCTTACCTGTCTCACAGCTGGGCCCGGTGAAGCCTTGCGGGCAGGCACACACATTAGCTGCAATACAAGCGCCTCCGTTCCTACAGCCATCTTTGCAAAACGCTGAAATAATTCAGATGCATGATTTTAGAGAGTTAGAAGTAAGTAGTTCAAGAAACTCCAAGCTCAGTTTTGCTTTATTCCCTTGGAGATTGGACACCAAATTATAAGTGCTATTATTTTCACATTCATATAATACTTCCCATACAGGTAAAACTTCCAACACAATGTGTGAAACAGTACTTTTCCCAATGTTAAATAAATATTTCACTCGCAAAATAAAATGCTGTACTTTCTTAACAAAAAGCAGTAACCTTCAACAATAGGAATGCACTCAAATTAGGACTGCATTTTATTGTACCAATACAGTCTGAAATTAAAGCTAAAAAATGGCAGCTATCCTATACAGTTTTCTTAAGGAGCAAACTGCCTTCTAGAAAAACGTAAGGAAATAGAAAATAATCAAATCCTGTGCAGATCCGATGAGGCTCTGACCGTGCTATACCCTGGCCAAGCACCACAATATTAGAGAAATGCCCCATTCTCCAGAAAGTTCTGGTTATGAATTAGCAACAGTAAGATCATGCTGCAGGGGCCTCCGGTAGACATCTCGCATTCCTCTGAGGCCAGGCCGGGAGGCAGCAAGCCTTTGTGTTAGAGTGGGTTTGCGAGCCAGGGGGATCCCTGTGGTAGGAAGAGAAGCCACGGCTGAGCTGTCGCAAGGCTGGTCCCAGTAAATGTGCTGCCTTCAAAGCAGGCGACAAAAACAGGTCAGATGAGACCCAGCCCCTGAGCAAGCTCCTGCTCCCGCGCCGGCTCGCTGTTCGGCCGGGAGGCTGGGGGCTGCTCCCTCAGCTGGGCAGGTCTGTTGTGGAGGAACCAGACCAGCTTGTTCCAAGCATTAAGGCCAAAGCTCTTCCCCTAGTTTCTGGCATGTGCTTCCCCTCATTAGCTAGGATGTACCTTCTCGGAGTGTAAAGCGGAAATCTCAGGTTCTGGTGCTGATTGCAGGAAGGGGCCCGGAGAGGACATTCGGTTCTCTGGTTTTAGGTCCTAACCTGTCTGTATCCCAGGCAAAAAGGTCACCCAGTCACTAAGGATTTGCCGAGACTGAGAGTGCAGACCTCCCAGATCATACAGGGTACAGCCAGCAGGCCACATGTGCATCTTCCATGGGGACCCGCAAGGCTACAGCTGACCGGCAGAGCACAGGACTCCGGGACGCAGATGCTACACGCAAACTGCTTACCAGACTTGACAGCCCCGGCAGATACACACGGGAACTGAAGGGTCCTTGCACAGCTAACCTGCAGTCCTAACCTCCAGAAATCTAGAGATCCTAGAAAGTTCTCCCTCCTTCAAAGACAGGAATTATCTGTCCCTACCTTTGCACGCAGTTCCGTTCCCTGTGTAGCCTGGCTTGCACACACAGTTGTGCCCTCCAACGGTATTGAAGCACAGAGCATTCTCATCACAGCTATGCTGGTCTGTGACACACTCATCATGTTCTGAAATGAGGAATAAATATAATTGTGTTACTCAAAGGTAGATTTTCAGAGACACTCTACTTTAAAGTGTATCTGTATCTTGGTTATTGTACAGCATGTCTCAGAAACACAGAATACACAAATTATATGTTAAAGAAGAGCTCATATCCTGAAGTATTGCATATTCCTCTTGAAGCACACAGCTTATTACATATCCAAAGACCTCAAACGCAAAAGGATTTGGAAAAAAGGCCCAATCATGGTAGGAAGGAATCAGAGAGGAGGGACCAGCACGGGGATTAATTCTCAGCAGTGGATCCCACAGCCAGGGGCGCAGTCTGTGTGGTTAATGTGTGGGGAGTTGCTCCCAGGACATAAAACTGCCCCCAACGCTTCCCCACAGCACGGCAGGGGCAACAGGACAGCATGTGAAGCTGCTGCTCGTGGATCCTGACCTGCCGGAAAATGGAGTGGATGCTTCGGAGGTGGGCAGGTGGTTAACACCCACTCCACAAAGGCACGTATGCAAGCCACTGGGTGAATGCCTGACATCCTTAGTAAGTGACCTTTCTCTGCCAAGTATCACACTTCTACTAAGACAGGCTGGCCTCTGTAATATGTGAAAATACAGACTTTAAAATACACCATCAGTACGACACCTCCTGCACCCCTGGAGCTCCACGTCCTTCCCCCTCCTGCGCTGCCTCGAGATGTCCCAGCAGCGGCTCAGGGTGTGGGGGGGCTACGCAGCCCACACAAGATCGCAGGTATTAGGTAACTTCACAATTCTGTCTCGGTGTGCAGCAAAAAGAGAAATGCAAGGAGCAAATACAGGGAATGTGAGAAAGAAAACAGATCTAACATCGAAATCAAGATGAGTGGGAAATGAAATGTAAGTGAGGATATGCATACAGATTAGCTCAGCCACTGAAAATCCCTACCTGGTGCTGCTTAACTACTACTTAGATTCAATACAGATCGATCTACAGTTAAGTATGTATTTTAATATACTTACACTAATCAAACCACTAATTCATTGATGTAGATCATCAAAGCAAAAAGAAATATTTGCTTTTCTTTTTAGAACTCATTTCAGAAAAAAAAAAAATATATATATATATATATATAATTCTATAGTAATGTATCCGTAACTTTGAAAAATATTGCCTTTGGCATATGCAGTTGAGCTTAGACTAAAATCACTTACTTCAACTACTAAAACAGAATGCAGTTTAATTTTTTTATAAATAGAGATAAACATTTCGTGATTTTATGTCCTGTGTTATCTAAACACAATGTTATGAGAGTTTTAACTATGACCCTGTAAGAAATCTCTTAGACATTATACCCAAATAATCTTTCAGAAAAAAGAGATTTTAATCCCTAAAGTTTTAGAGTTGCATGAGCAGATCTCTCACATTCCAAACTCCTGGCTGAATTTCCCTAAATTGTACACAATTCCACCTTTATTATCTAGTGTCAGAACATTGAATAGTTTTCATAAATTCATGCATATTGGTAACAGCTTGGAAATGGCTGGGTTACACATGTGTCTCTTAACAGGGCTATGCCTGGACCCCTGTAAAATTTCAGAGAGACCAGAATGGGCAGCCCACCTACCTCTGGGTTCAGCTGCCTGGAGCAAAATAAATCTATACTCTGAAATTGCACCGGCTGCCAATTTTTTCCTAGTGCTATTTAAAGTGCTGCAGGTGATCTATAAATCTCTACATGGGCAAAGAGTGCAGATGATCTGAAAACCTTTATATGGGAAAAGCATGCAGGGGCCCTGGAATCTCTATGTGGGCTGCTGCTGATTGGATGTTGTTTCATCCCAGTCTTGACTGTTGTCTTAATTAGAAGTGACTCCCTGGGTAGAGGAAGGCCCAGCTAGGTTCAGTTTAGCTCCCAGTCTGATAATTTCAATAAGCATTAAATCATCACCCAACCTGGGATCCGGTTTCCTCTGCTGCCATTTTCTCTGTGGTCCTTGAAATGGCAAGTGTGCCCCTAAGCAATCCGAGAACAAAGACAGCTGCCAGGGCTTCGATGTGTCTGCGGCACCCTCACCTGCGATGCTTCCTGGGCCCGGCCAGCCTCGCGGCTCCTCCCAGGAAACTTACCACTTTTGAAGATGACACTAGCAGGTCACGTCTCGTGTGAAAACACCTCTCTCACCCCCCGTTTTCCAGGTACCACCCACTAGGCTCCGCCACTACATTCCATCATCACTGTCTTCTCCCTGGTTCTCCATCCTCATGTCCCACCCAGGATTGTGAATTCCGGGGCAAGAATTTTATATTTTCCTTTGTACTTCAAGTCAGCAAAGAATGCTTTTTAAAATAAAGACTGAGAAAACAAGAGACCAAGTGAGAAAGGTGGGGACGCTTTCTCTGCTGCCACCCCTCAGTGGGACCCCAACCTGCCCAGTTGGGGACCAGATGCCACGGAAAGCTACTGAAAACCTAAGCTGTCCTTTATAGATTTTACTACGAAGTTTTACTTGAGTTCGCATATTTCAAGTATTATTTAAGATAGCAAGACATGTTTTGAAAACAGAGACTATTAATTTGTTTACACTACCACTTAAAATTTTTTAACAGTAATTAAAATTAAGTAGGTTATACTTATAATCATCAACTAAACTGTGACCTTATAAAAAGCCTTTAAAAATGTCTCTTAGAGGAATTAACTTTGTCCTTCACAAAACAATTTAAATGAAGCAAGGAGCAAACATTCTATAAGGTCAGCTCAATAAATAGTAAATTATTGCTTCTCCATATCCAGTTTTGGTCAAATGTCAACTTCTTACACAGCCTACCAGTCAGCCTCTCCCATCTTTTTTTTAAAATACTTTCTCTAACATCTTCAACATATAATAAGTAAAATTAAGTAAAAGGAGGGAAGTATTTAGATGAAAATTAAATCAGTATTATGTTCCACTGTTTGAGAAGAGCATGTGAGAATGTAAGTGAATGAATTCCAAGTTTTATTTCACATATATTTATAAGTGGACATTTCAGATCTGATGTTCAGAATATCCAATCCATAAACTTCAATGTTACTTTCACATCTTCAGTGAAAATTTCATTGTTCACTTGACACCACAGTCACATAACATCTGAGATTAAAGTCAAATGTACTTCTTTTTAAGCCTTCTTCATTAAAAATATTAGTATATGGCTGCTTTAATCAAGATTTAATATTTTTTATATCTGTGAATTCCAATTTAAAAAACTTTTATTGATGTCTAGTTGATATATAATATCATATTAGTTTCAAGTATGCAACATAGCGATTCAACAGTTACCTGCATAAAACTGACATTAAACTGAGTGAACACTCCCCAGCCGCAATCTGTTCCCTGGATGGAAAGCCTTGGATCTAATTCAACAGTTGCCCCCAACATCCCACACAATGACTGGCACAAAATTGGTCTCCAGCGCTGGCCTGTTACAGAGCAAACATCGTCATGAATATGTCCCAGCCTAACGTGCACGACCTTCAGGGACCTGCTGGCGAACAGCGCCCCGACCTTCCGCGCCTCCTGCCTTCCCGCCGCGGCTCGCGGCGGCCGCGCTGCTCTCTCCCCCGTGCCGACCCGGCCTCGCTCCCTGGCCCCTGGCACCGGACCCCCGCAGCCGCTTCGCAGGGAACCATCCAGGCCGCAGGACAGGGCGTCCCCGGGTTTCCACCCGCAGAGGACGCGTAAGCCTCTTCCTCGCGGCCAGGAATCTGGGGCCGGTCACCACAGATTTCTCCCTTCCTCCCGCCGCCACGTCCAGGGACCAGGCCGCCTGGGCCCCACTCCCGGGGCAGTTCCCACTTCCAGCCCCCACCTCCACCCCCACTGCTCTGGAGAAGCCCAGATGCGGCCCTGAATGTCACCTCTGCATTCGTGCAGGGCCTCGTGCGGACAAAACTGCCCCCTGGTCTGCGCCCCTGCGGACCACCATCGGGATCCCCTTCCAGATAAACCCCGATCTTTCTCTCCAACCCATTCTCTCTCCTTCTCTCTCCCCATTCTCTCTCCTTGTAGTCCTTTTGAGTGACATGCCATTATTTTTACTTTAAGACACTTTGCTCTCAACAAACTGTACCGTTCATACCTTCTCCATTGCATCATTTTATTTTCAACATCATTTGAGGGGACTCTACTAAAGGCCAAGGATCAGAGCCGCCACTCCCTGTATATTGCATACATGTGACCCTGCTTTGTGCCCAGAGAGCCGTTGCCCATCTTCTCTCGCCTGACTCTCCTGCTCACCACCCACTTCGATCAAACAGGGCCTCCTTCAGACAACCTTCCTTAAAACTCCCTCAGTCTAACTTGGGTGAAGCCCATCAGACCCACAGAGCTTTGTTCTTTATTTCCTCCTAACATCTGAAAGCAAGGATACGTAGCGGTGAAGTGCCAGGACCTGGGACTGGATTGCCTCAACCTGACTCTGCCTTTTACTAGCTGCCGGATCTCAGGCAGATTGTTTAATCCAAGTGACAGTTTCCTCCTCTGTTAAATGGACCTAGTAACAGCCCAGCAGTAAAGTCCCCTGTGAGGCCTGGGGCAGTGTTCAGCAGTCCCACAAACATTTCTGTAGTAAAAGTAGGACTGCTCATACCAAACTGGATAAAGAGGAGAAATCGCTTCACATAGGATTAGATTTTGCTGCCAAATGACTTTTGCAGACAAACATTCCATTTCTAGAGCTGTCTGGACTTTCCATTCTTCCAAACTGTAGCTGAGGGACTGTGGCCCTGTGAGTCCTTGGGAGCTGCGATGCTAAAAGAGGTGGGTGGTGCATGGACAGCCCCTGAGATCCTTCGTGCAGGCACGTCTCCGTGTTGGTATGAGGCCGCTCCTCGGGCACTGCTGAGGCTGTGCCCTCTGCCCCGACTCTCCAGTGATCACGACCTGCCTCGGGACACGCACTCTTGACCCAGATCTTTGACTCCTCGGTTTTTGCCCTGAGACCTGGCACATTGGAGAAGCTTGTACACTAAATTGGATGACTTAATCACAG